GAGGGCCCGCGGCACCTCCCAGGCCGGTCGGCTTCAGGCGGGGGCCGGATGCAGAACCTGAGCCGCATGTTTCCTAACTTACAAGAACAGGCATCAAAATGAACCACTTTCCCGGGTGACTTATGTTTTCTCCACAGAAGCCAATAGGGTTAGTTGATGTTTTAATTTGCCAAGAACAAATCTGAGCAGTCTGTCCCCCAGGTGGGAAGGTGTAGGTCCTGCTGGAAAGCACTCCACAAACACGCTGCTCTGGGCCCCTCCCTGGGGCGGGGGGCTCCGACGGAGGACGCGCGGCAGCTCTGGCTGGGAGTCAGGCGGGAGATCCCCATGGTGACCTCAGTGCCCTCCTGGTCCAGGACGGGAGCCTCCTGGGGCCCCGACACCAGGTGCCCGTGGCGTAGCTCCCTCAGGCCCCGTCCAGATGCAGATCTGAGGTGGGCTGGGCGCAGGGCTGGTATGTGCAGGACCCTCGCCCAGCCTGGTCCAGGCCTTGGGAGGCAAGCAGGGCCTCTGCAGGGGACCCCCCCCGCAACAGTGAACCCGCCAGGTGATATGACCTGGGGCAGGGCCCAGGAGAGCCAAGGCCGCCGTGAGGGGACTGTCTGGGGAGTATCGTTCCCTTCTCCCTGCCCTCCTTAATGGAGTTGACACAAAATAAGCATATTAGGCACCGAAAGAGCACAATGCGCCGAGTCTGATGTCTGACCCACGAGACCATCAGCACAACTATGGAACACACCCATCTCCGTGGCCGCCCTGGATGCCCCCCACACTAGGCCCGGCTCAGTGATCACATGGACACCCCGGCCTGGGGCCGCAAAGGGGGCTTGCCCACCCACCGGCTCCTGCCCTGACCAGGTGCACAGAGACCCCCCGCGATGCGGGCGGGGAGTGAGGGCTCCACCATGTGGCGGACAGCTCGCCAGTCACCTTGGCCGCGTACCCTAGCTGTTTTGTTTTGTATTTTCCCTGTGGTAAAACATACATAAAATTGACCATCTTAACCCATTTCAGTGTATAATTCAGGGGCACCGAACGCATCCAGCTGCCATGCAGCCGCCCCCCTATCTGGCTCTAGAATGGTCCATCCCGCACACGGAGACCCTGTCCCCGTGATGCACGGACCCCCCCACCCGCTCCCCCCGGCCCCGCCGTCTGCCCTCTGTGACCGTGAGTCTGACGACCCCAGGACCTCATGGGAGTGGGGTCCCTGTGCGTGTCCTTCCGTGTCTGGCTCGTGTCCTCAGGGCTCGTCCCCATGGGGGCAGGGGTCGTTCTTTCCTTTAGAAGGCCGGCTCATATGCCATGGTGTGGACGGACCACACCGTGTTCGTCCGTCATCCGTGATGGACACTTCCAAGGCTGCGGTCCTGTTTCTTGCCAGCTGCACCTCCAGTAAGCTCAGCCTCCAGGCTGCGCGGCCTTGGGGAGAGGCCTCTGTGGACATCCATCAGGGGTCCCTAGACCCTGTGGGTCAGGAGGGGGCAGACAGCCTCTCTGAATGTTGGTTCCCATGGCCGCAGCACCCCTGCCTCTTGCTTGTGAGGGAAGGAGCCTCTGGGAGCTGGCGAGCGGCTCTTGGCCCCAGATGTGACTGTGGTCCAGGGCGGCAGGGACACCCACCCCGAGGCAGGCGCATGAGGGGCTGAGAGTGCGTCCTGGGGGCAGGGGTCCTGGTTCTGTGGCCGCCTAACATCCGGAAGCCCCTCTGGCCCTAAGTCTCCCGCCTGCCGCCAGGGACATTCCTGCTGGATTAGCACTGGTTTATCTGAACACAGACACAGCTCTCCTGGGGGCCCCAGGGAGGGAAAGCTTGGCGAGGGGGGGCCGCTCGGTAGCTAGTCCCCATTTCTTACCGTAGGAGGTCAGGAAAGCCAGAGCCATGTTTCCCCAGACGTACGGGAAGCCCGCTGAGGAAGGCTGCTTCCTCGGAGGCTGGGGCGGGGGCCGCGGACGGCTGTTGGTGGTGCTGATGGGCCCGCTGGGTCTGACACTCCCACCCCGAAGTCCTGCGCCCCATCGCCCATTCTGACGTCGTAACAGTGCTTGAGGCTATCTACGTGATGGACGCGTAGAACTTCGCGGAGAAAAACATTAAGGCGCCAGCAAACCCGTTTTACCGTGTTCTTTCCAGAGCCCAGTGCTTTGCCGGGAGCTCTGCCCCGCGAGGCTTGTCTTTGCTCCCGCTGGGGTGTCATGAACAAGGAGCCTGAGCGCGTGTCCCACCTGCACACGCCGTGTAGCCACAGGCCACGCTTGCACCCGAGCGCCCACCTGGCCCCTGCCCTGGGGGTTCTGTCACCGCAGATGAGCTGGCTGGCTGTCTCAAGGATGTTGTTCGAGCGGGGTCGACGGTGTGCCCTTGTGGTCCGTCCTCCCCCGCCCAGTGTGTCCACGCTTCGTCCCTTTTACTGGTGAGTGCTGTTCACTTCGGTTTCCTGTTTGGCTGCTGACGGACATCTGGGTTGTTTCCAGTGTGGGGGGCGTTGGCGGGAAATCACCAGCCACCGTCAAGACGTTTCCTGGCCCAGTGGCCCTACGCAGACAGCCCCTAGGCACCCCTCACTGTGGCTTGGCCCGGGGCTCAGGCGCTCCCACCTCACTGCCCCTGGGGCCTCATCAGAGGGCCATCTCCAACCGGCACCCCCAGCACCTGAGGCCGGTCGGTCCCACACCAAGTTATGTCTCTTGACAGCTTTGTCTAGGTGACATGTCTGTGTCACGTCCCTCTGCACCTTCCGCCAGGGGGACCTCGAGGGAATAGCACTTTAGGCTCTGACAGGAGCTCTTAGGGAGGAAAGAGCCCCCCATCTGGTACTGGGGAGTGCCCTGCTCTTTCCACTGTATCCAGTAACAATGAGGACTCGGGACTCATCACATTTCCCTTTTCAACTTGGCTGCCAGGAAACCCAGAGCTATGGTTCTTAATCAATCAACCTGATTCCTTAAAAAACAAACAAACAAAAAAAACTGCCCTTTGTTTGTAGCTATGGGTTTTTCTTTGTACACCTAGTTTTCAGTGTCATTTCCAGGACACCTCCGAGCTTGGGCACAGTGAGGCTGGCACTGACTGTCCATGTCCCCAGATTATTTTTGGAGCTGTGATGCCCACTCACAGACCTGCACTGACGAGTACTTCCAACATGCTTCCCTGCTCAAGTTCTCACCTGACGGATACCGGGGGGACAGGACTTCTCATCTGTCTCCAAAGCCACCTGGGTCAAAGAGGGGTCGGGCCAGTTGCTCCCACCCACCCAGAACTGGACACGTGATCGTGCGTGTGACCTGGGTTCCAGCTGCACAGTGGGTGGGGGACAGGGCCAAATTCCCCCCAGGGATTGGTGGGGCACATCCCCTTTCCATGGGGGTGCCGCCGAGGTGCAGGTGTTGGGTGGGAGGTGGGGCAGCGTGACCCTAGAGCCCAGGGGTCTGGGTTATGGGTGAGAAGAGGGGGGCCCCACCGACCAGCCCAGGCCCTTTGGATGAGTGGGCCATTCCTGGGCCCGGGTGGTCCACAGTGACTGAAGCTGAAGTCAGTGCAGAGCCTGAGGTGGGGACACCGCTAGGAGGGGACACCTCCGGGGAGCACAGCCAGCCCCAGGCTTCTCCTGGAATAAGGGGTCTACACACAGGCCTGGAGCCTGTGACTCTATTAGCACTGTGACGCCCAATATAAGCGAGTCACTTTACACAGCTTCGTGGTGTTCTGGTTGTCTACTGCACGCGGCCCAGCAACAGGGTTTACAAACCTGCAACGTGGGCAAGAGTCGGTGGGGGCAGCTCACTCCTGCTTCATTCAGTGTCACCTGGGGTGGCCGCCATCTGAAGACTCGCCATCACCTGAGCACCCCTTGTGGCCCCCCATGTGGCCTCCCCACGTGACAGGGGCTTCCCACATCATGGCGGCCAAGTCCCAAGGGCAAGCGTCCCAAGGGCGCCAGCTACGTCCTCCCCCTGCCCTCGCCCCAGGGGTCCCACAGCGTCTCGTCTGCTTCATCCCATGCTGGAAGCTGACCCACGACCCAGCGGCGGAGCGTCAAAGCCACGGTGGACAAGTTTTAAGACCACCGCACATATCCGCCACCCCGTGTCATTCTCCACAGGTCCCAGGAAGCGCAGGTCCTCCTTAAGGGCCTGCCCACTCTTCCCACGGGTGGGGGAGACACGGGCCGCCGCGCGCAGAATGACTTCCAGGGGCTTTGACATACACGCTCTTCTGGGAACAGGGAGAGCAGCTCCGGCGTTTCTGCAGGCAGCTGGCCTACTTCCTGGCTGGGACGGCTGTGGGAGGGCAGCCAATGTGGTTACTGGCGACACCTGCCGGCGGCAGGCCCACAGAGCAAGTGCTCAGCGCCAACAGGCAGGAGTGCCACACAGAGCTTGCCGGGATGCTGTCCCCAGGGGCCTTGGCTCTGGACCGAGTCACGCTCACTCTCAGGACAAGCTCTTTAGAGTCAGGACAGGCAAACGAGAATGGGATGCACGGAGAAAGGGCCACGGCCGACACAGGCCGGTTTTATTGAAAATGCAGCCAGGTTTTCCCGGGGACTGGCCAGCGAGGCCCCAGGAGGGAGGTGAGGGATGGGCGAGCCACGGCCTGGACCCACCAGGGAACGCAGGCAGGTGACCCAGATGCAGGTGGTCGGCACCAGAGGGGCCCCCCTCACCCCCCACCGGGGATGGACCACAGCTGGAGGGAAGGGCTGACTCTGGTCAATCTCTACAACATTCCCCGTAGAAAAATAGACCTTTCTCTCAATAAGCAAGCTCCCCGGGGGCTTGAGGGCCACTGGGAGGCCAGGAGGCTATGTCACAGTGGCCACTTTCTGCTGTAAAGGGACGAAGACACGTCACGATCTGTGAACAGTCTGGCCACAGTCAGTCCTTCCAAGGGTCAGGCGCCACAGGCCCACTGGCCGCTGACCTGCTGGTAGCCCCGCCTGCCCCTCGTTGGGGCCCCGCCGCTGGGTCCTGGGCGGCAGCAGCGGCCTGCTGGGCCCCTAGGAGAGAAGCTGCAGCACCCGCCGGATGCGCTGGGTCTTCCCCAGTGGGAGGGGCTCCGCGCCACTGGCCTTGTCCACCTCCTGCATCAGGGCTTCTGCCTTCTGCACCGTCAGCTCCCGGGCGCGGCCCCTGAGCCCCTCCAGGTAGGCCAGCAGGGTGGAGAAGAGTGCGTCGGGAACCTGGGCGGGGGAAGAAGACGAGGGCGTCAGGGGCCCCGTGGGGTGGCGTGGAGAAATGGGGCATTCACCGCGCGGGCCCCAGGCTCCAGGCAGGGCTCCCACCCCAGCAGCTGGCATCTCAGGTGGCACCCCTGCTCCTGCTCTGTCCCCCTGCTGCAGGACCACGGACTGGCCTCCTGCAGTGACCCTCTCCCGGTCCTGGGCTATTCCCTCCACGGGCTTCAGGCTCGGCAGCCCTGGGTTCTCACCGCTCCTGAAATGCCACTAAATCAACAGGAGACAGGTGTGTTTGTGACGAGTGAGCTTCTAGGACAAAGAATGGAGGTCATGGATGAAGCTGATGTAACCGCGTTCTGCTGCCGCCCCCCAAGCCCGCCTGACTCCAGGTCTGGCTAGTCCCGTCCAGAGGCGAGAGGGAAGGAGGGGCTGGGTCCACTCAAAAAGCAGTCAGTGACTCCCACGTCTCGACTATGAAGCCACAGTAGTGGATTGGCATTGGCACAAACACGCAGGGCAAGGGGCAGAGCCGGGGCTGAAGTGGTGACCCCTCCACCCACGGTCAGTGGGTTCTGACAAGGGCCCTCGCTCCAACGGACGGTGCTGGGACGTCCCCGTGAGGACCCCTCCCTCACACCATCTTCAGACATCAGCTCAGAACCGGTCAAAGACCTGCGAGTATGAGTTAAAACTATAAACTCTTAGGGGCGCCTGGGCGGCTCAGTCATTGGGCGTCTGCCTTCGGCTCAGGTCATGATCCCGGGGTCCTGGGATCGAGCCCCACATCGGGCTCCCTGCTCTGCGGGGAGCCTGCTTCCCCCTCGCCCTCTCTCCCTGCTTGTGTTCCCTCTCTCGCTGTCTCTGTGTCAAATGAATAAATAAAATCTTTTTTAAAAAAACAAAACAAAAACTATAAACTCTTAGAAGAAAGCGTCGCAGAATGACCCGGGATTAGGCAACAATTCCTTAGCTAGGACACCGGGAGCACAAGTAGCTAAATAAACCCCAGATAAACGGACTTCATCAAAACTAAAAGCTTTAAGTGGTGAATGTTGTGGCGTGTGAGTTGTAGCTCAACCGAGAGCACAAGGCAGTTGCCCACTAAGAGCAGCCTGCAGCCACTGACACAGGAGGTGCAGGGACTCCAGTGTGGCGGGCTGGGCACAGGGGGAGGGTACGAGACTTCACCTGCTGAAGGGAAGCCTCCCTCACTGCCCCCCACGGGCTGCCCTCAACCCCCTCCACCTGCTGTGCCCACACACTGCCCCCCAACAGTCTGTCCACCCCCCTGGGCTGTCCCCCCACCCTGAGCCTCCCCCATGCTGCCCCCTGCCTCCCTCCATGGGCTACCCCCCTGCCTCCCCTGACGGGCTGCCTGCCCCCGGAACCTCCCCCCACAGCTGCCCCCTGCCTCCCTCCAATGGGCTGGCCCCCACGCTACCTCCCTCTACTTACTGACCTCCCCCCAACTGCCCCCCTCCCCCCACAGCTGCCCCTGCTTCCTCCAATGGGCTGCCCTCCCCTCCCCCCCCGCTTCCACAGTGTCGGCAGCCAAGCCTGTGTCCTGCAGCAAGACTACAAGTTTCTACTCTGAAATCTGAGGATACAGGAGAGAAGACCCACGATCCTGAGCCCAGCCCATCAACCCATCCGGAACCCACGTGGAAGTGCACAGGCCACGGGGGTGCGTGCAGCCCTGGCCACCCCCACAGGGCACCACCTGGGAGCAAAGTCTCTGATTCCAAAGTCAGAGGCCAAGCAAACGAACCACAAGCAACCTGGATAAAATAAAGGTTATACAGAGAGAAGAAAATGTCAAAACCGTATTGTTACCATCCTTGGAGAAATCCGGAGATGCGGATTTCCCAGAACACGGGAACAGGGTGCTCCGAGAGCACATGGGAGGGAAGCTGTGTCCTCATCAACACGCACCACCGGCCGTCCTTGCTCATTGCGGCCACGCTCGGCTGGTGGGCGTCCCCCAGCACCAGCGACACGGGGCTCCGCTGCAGGTGCTCCCCGTCACCTGGGCCGTCTGCTCTGGAGAAGCGTCTACGTGGACCCTCCGTCCACTTTGAAATTGGGCTGTCCTGTTACCGAGGTGGGAAGGTTCTCCCTGCGTGGTGGACCAGCCACGGGACACGGGGCGCGCACGCACTTTGTCCCATTCGGTGGGAGGCTGTTTCACTCGCGTCTGCCCCTCCCTCCGTGTCACCACGCTTGTGGAGCTGTGTTTAAGGCACCTGTGCCTGCCCCGAGGTCATGACAGGAGAGCGTCAGCCCTGACATCTGCGGCTCCGACTCACTTTTAACTTTTGTTAGAGGTCGGGTGGGGTCACCTTCATTCTTTGATGTGTGGATACCCAGCTAGCCCAACATGGCTTGTTGGGGACCGGCCTTGGCTTCCCCCTCGGTGCGTCCTGACCGTGAGGGGCACTTCCAGGCTTTCCCTCCCGCTCCCTTGTCATCCACCCCGCGGTTAGATTAGGCTTCTGGATCTGTCTCGTCCCATGAAACCAAATCTTATATCCTGCTCCCGGAAGAAAGTACTTCTGAACACAATGGGGTGTGTGTGTACCCACGCACACGTGCACACGCCCACACGCACGCGCACACGCGCACACCCATGCCCTACGCAGGCAGGTGGCCACCGTGAGGTTGGGCCCGTGTCTGCCTCTGCCTTGGGGGCTGGAAGAGAGGTTCCCGGGGGAGGCAGATGCTAGCTTGGTTTCTTCTACTCCGGACGCTGGGCTGACTGGACACGTGTGGGACCGAGAACAGTTCTGCCTTACGTCATGGTCTCTGCTGATCCGGCAGGCGGTACCGGACGGCCGTTACTGCGATGGTCCTGCCAAGGAGCATCCTGGCACTGTGCCGCAGGGTCACAGAGAGGCCCGAGTGTGGACCTCACAAGAGCCGGCAGAGCAGGGCCCGTCCAGGGTGGCGGGCTGCTCTGGAGGGAGCCTGTGGGCAGGACGGCAGGAAGTGTGAGGAGCACGGCTAACTGTGGGGCCAGCAGGCAGAGGTACCACCGTCTACAGAGTCTGGGGTCCAGAGCACCACAGCCCCCTAGCTTCCGCCCCGGGCTCCCATCCTGTCCCTGGCTGCCCTCCCCCGCAACCCTGATGAGCCACACAGGCTCCGGGAGTGTCTGCTGGACGGAGGGGAGGCCTTGTTATCAGGACCGTAGACACACCAATAACCAGCTTGACCCTCTCCTCCCTTCCCAGCATCCCTAGGTGCCTTGGCCATTAGTCGTCCACTTGCAGCTCAGGGCTCCCTCTACCCCACTGCCTGTGCTGGGCCCCAAATGAGCTCTGACCCTGACCTCAATGGGCTCACATCCATCCATCCACCCATCCTTCCATCCTTCCACCCACTGGTTACTGCACTCTCTCTGGAAAGCCCCCGGACACCAGTCCCCAGCTGGGTTTTCAGATACATGTGCCCCATTTTCCAGGGCAGCCCAGGCAGCTGTGAAGGGTCAGCAAGAGCCAACAAGCCTTGTCCTCATGGGGTGCACATTCCAGCAAGGCCAGACAGGTAACGAACTGGCAGGATGCTGGGAAGCAGCAAGGTGCTGCGTCCATCCACTGTGGAGAGCACAGTCCGTTCAACGGGTGGTGCACGTCCCCACGTGCAAGACACCTAACTCACCACATACAGGGTTAACTCCCATTGGTCAAAGCCCTAAATGTAAGAACAAAAACTAAAAAACCCTTACAAAAAAACAGAAGTAATTTTCCTGACCTCGGGTTAGGAAATGATTTCATAGTTATGACGCGAGAAACACAAACAACAAAAGAAAAAATAGAAAAATCAGGCTTCATCGAGGTGACGACCTGTCCCTAGCAGAGCTCCCACCACTGTGACAACTAGTGGTCTCAAGGGGACAGGCACGACCGGAAAGCAAGGGGCCGTCTGGCCGCAGCAGTGGTCCCCAGGGCACCCTGGCCCCTCCCCGGGGGCGGAGGGGAACACAGACCTGGGCAGGGTGGTCAGGGCATGGAGGTCTGTGCATGAAGCTCCCCACTGGCTCCCTGCATGTGATACCTGCTCCCAAGAGTTCTGGGGACCGTGGGTTCCCTGGGTCTGAGCTCCTGTGCCCAGAAGTCTGGCGATGGGGGACTGGGGGTGTGCCCCCAGCTGCGGCAAGTGGGGAGCTGGCATGGGGCTGTGCAGGACGGTGGGGTCACGGGGAAGGGGTGCAGAGTTGTTACCCCCAAGGGGGCTCTGCTGCAGGCCACACCGCCGGCCTGTGACTCCTGCAGCAGCCCTGGCCCGTGTGGACAGCTGTCTGCCCATCCTGCCACACCCACAGCCTCGTTTCAGACTGCGGCTCTCAGGTGCTTCCTCCACAGAGGTCCCCCCATCACGTGCACACGGGCACCCTTGACCTCCCGGCCACGGAGCCACCAACCACAGCTGTCATGAAAACTACACTTGTCAAAACAAATGATGGCAGCAAGGGATGACGACCTGAGAAAATCGACACTGGTAGACAATCCACACCTGCCCCCTCCCCGCGTGCACACACCTGCACCCCACAGGGTGTATACACACCCGCACCCCCCGCGTGCACACACCCGCACCCCACAGGGTGTATACACACCCGCACCCC